CTCTTTCTTTAAAGTTGTTTTCTTTAATACTTTCTTGAATTTTTTAAAGGCTGTCAACATCTCTACTCCAAGCAGTCCCAGACCTGTCCTTCAGTTCTTATTAAGTCCTAAATTTGAGGAAGAAGAAAGTTTCCCGGTGAACCACCACGGACATGCTGTTCCCCTGGGTTACGTGTTTTTCTCAGGGGGATCAGAAGGCTGATTGTGGTGTTGAGCTTTGTCACACTGTGTGTTTGTTCCACTGGTCCAGGATGGAGCAAATCCACTTTTCTCCCTTTTCTCCCTCTCAGTGTGAGATGACCAGTTTCCCACGCAAGTAACTCTGGTAGTTAACTGTTTGTCAAGGTCAGTCCAGACACTCAAGTAGAGAGGTGGTTCTATCTGCGTCGTTCTTCCCGAGGCTGACCCAGAACTCAGAGTGGAAGGAGGACCTTAAGATGTCGAGCTGAGGCAGACCAGACGAGGTGCTTGGATTTCTGCCTCTTCTTCATTTTCGATGAATTCCACAAATTTGGTGGAAAGTTCTCTGAAGCTGCTTACTGGGTCACATCGTTTCATCCATGAACTGATTTTTTTAAGTGGCAATTGACTTTTAGTTACTCAATTTATTTCATTTAAGAAGTACAACCGAGTATAAAATTAAATAAAGAAAATATATGCTTCAGGTATACCTTTTCAATTCAGACTTTTTTTTTTTTTACTGCCTTTTGCTGGATTAGCTTATTTTTGGAGAGACAGAATAAAAATATTTCCATTAGAATAATTACATACATGTTGCCACCAGCAATGTGTGAGAGTTCCTTGCCAATACTTGATATTGTGAGTCTTTTTAATTTTACCTATTCTACAAGGTGGGAAGTAGTATTTAATTTTGATTTTAATTTGCATTTCCCTAATCGTGAGCAATATTGATTATGTTTTCATATGCTTTGTTGATGGTCACATATCTTCTTTAAGTGTCTGTTACATATTTTAGCCCATATTTTATTGGGTTGTTTGCTTAATGCAGTTTCTTTGTATGTTATAGATGGTAGTTCTTTATCAGATATGTATTTGGAAAACATTTTCATTTTGGCACAACAGTATTTTTCAGAGAGCAGACATTTGAAATTTTGATGAAATCTATTTTTTATCAGTTTACCAATTTTCATTATTCAGTTCAAAATATTTCCTAATTTACTTTGTGATTTTTATGAGTTCTTTAAGTTTTAAATTTCCAGATATTTCAGATGTTTTACTTATTTATTTTTGATTTTTAACTTAATTCTGTTGCAGTAAGAGAATGTAGTCTATTACATTTTAAGATTTTAGAAACTATTGAGAATCATTTAATGGCCCATTATATGGTCTGTATTGGTAGACATTCCCTGTGGACTTGAAGAAATATGTATATTCTGCAGGTATTGGGTTTAGTGTTCTGGAAATATCAGTTGGGATAAGGTAATTAATAATGTCATTTAGATTTTCTACATTCTTACTGGTATTTTTGTCTAGTTCTATCAATTTCTGAGAGTTTGTTAAAGTCTATGATTGTGGATTCATCTCTCATTTTAGTTGTGTTAGTTTTTACTTTATGTGTTTTGAAGCTTTGTTATCAGTCACATCTATATTTATGATTTTATACCTACCTGATATATTGACCATTTTATCATAATGAAGTCCCCAGTTGTCTTCAGTAATATTTCTTGTTATGAAGTCTGTTTTGTCTGATATTAATATATAGACCCATCATCTTTCTTATGCTTATTGTTTGCATGGAATACATTCTTTGTATCTTTTTACTATTAGTCTATTTATGTCTTTATTATCTGAAGCATATATTTTGTTGACAGAATACAACTGGGTCTTGGATTTTATTTATTTATATATTTATTTACTTTTAGATTTTATTTATTTGTCAGAGAGAGAGCGTGTGCATGCTCACACAAGCAGGGGGAGTGGCCGGCAGTGGGAGAAGCGGGCTCCCTGCTGAGCAAGGAGCCCAATGCAGGACTCAATCCCAGGAACCTGGGACCTGGGACCTGAGATGAAGGCAGACACTTAACCTCCTGAGCCACACAGACATCCCTGGGTCTTGGATTTTAAACCTAGTCTTAAAAATGTCTGTCTTTATTTTTTTATTTTATTTTATTTTATTTTTAAAGATTTTATTTATTTATTTGAGACAGAGAGAATGAGAGAGAGAGAGCACATGAGAGGGGGGAGGGTCAGAGGGAGAAGCAGACTCCCTGCTGAGCAGGGAGCCCGATGCGGGACTCGATCCAGGGACTCCAGGATTATGACCTGAGCCAAAGGCAGTCACTTAACCAACTGAGCCACCCAGGCGCCCAAAATGTCTGTCTTTAAAAAAAAAAAAAAAAAGTCTGTCTTTTGAATGGAGTGTTAGTTCACTTACATTTAATTATTGATATATACTGAGGTCTTCCCTTTTGCAGTTTGTTTTGTGTCTTCTGTATTTTTTGTTCCTCTGTCCCTCCTTTATGTCTTCTTTTATTTTAATCAGATATTTTTTAGTATTTCATTTTAATTTCTCTGTTGGTTTTCTAGTTGTACATTTTTGCATTTTTAAATTTTTAGTTTTTGCTCCAGGGATCACATATGCATCTTAAACTTTTCCCAATTTACTTACAGTTAATATTGAATTACTTCAGATGAAATATAGAAATCTTGCAACAGTGTATTTTTGTTTACCTCTTATTTACATAGTGCTATTGTTATATATTAGATCTGTTTATGTTATAAACCTATCATTATGGATTTATAATTTTTAATTTAGTAGTCATATCTTTTAAAATAAATAAATATAGTTAAAATCTTTCTCACATACTTATCTTTTAAAAAAATTTTAATATAGGTCCCACTTGCCATTCAGTGTCATTTTTCCTTTAGGTCAAATTACTTCCTTTAGAATTTGCTGTAGTGTGGTTCTGCTGGCAAAAAATATCTCAGTTTTTGTTTACTGAAAATTTATTTTATTTTGCAGTCATATTTGAAGGATAGTTTAGCTGGATATAGAATTATTACTGATAATCCTCTCCCCCCCCCCCAACTCCAGTGCTTTGAATATGTTTTTCCAGTCTTCTGGCTTTCATAGTTTCTGGTGAAAAGTCAGCCAGTTATTTATTATTATTCCCTCATACATAACATGTAGGTTTCTCTGATTGCTTTCAAAGTTTTCCCTTTAACTTTAGCTTTTTTATAGTTTGACTGTAGTGTGCGTCTAGGAATGACTTTATTTTTGTTTATCTTTCTTGAGGTTCAGTGAGCTTCTTGAATCTTTATGTTTTCTACCATATTTTGGAAGTTTTGGGTCATTATTTCTTCAGTTTTTTTTTTAAAAATTCTGCTTTCATTGTTCTTTTCCTGGGCTTCCAGTTGTGTGTGTGCTGGGGTGCTTCATAATGTCTTAAGTTTTGTCTCAGAGGTTTTATTCATTTTTCTTCAAACATTTTTCTTTGTTGGATAATTTCTACTGGCACATATTCAAGTTCATTTGCCATCTCCAATCTGTTGTTGAGCCCATTGAAAATTTAGTTATTATACTTTTAAGGTCTAGAATTTATATTATTTTTTGTAGTTGCTATTTTTCTGTTGAGATTTTCCATGTATTTCCCTTTAACTTTTTGAATTATTTTATTTCAATACTTTGAATATATTTGTAAAGCCATTTTGAGGCCTTTGCAAAGTTCAACATCTGGGTCTATTTAAAATTAGTTATATTGACTACCTTTTTGTTTTTTTTTCCCTTGAGTATGGGTCACACTTCCCTGTTTTTTTTTCATGTTGAATAATTTTTGGTTGAAAATTAGATGTTGCAGATATAGTGTAACAACTCTAATTTTTTGGTGTGTGTTTTCTGAGGATTTTTAGATTTTTGATCTAGTAGCTCTTCAACCCGCCTACCTTGAAATGGTAGACTTTGTCGCCTTTGTGATCTATTGCTGCTGACATCTGTCTGTGTAATTTCCCACGGCTGTTTCTTTAGCCTGGCCCTGTAGAGGTCTTCCCCGTGACTGCAGATTTGGTGGCCAAAGATTTGAATATGGATTTGGCTTACCTTTTTTTTTTTTTTTTTGTGGTTTTGTGTTTTGTTTTGTTTGTTTTTGGCTCCTGCTGGTTTGGGGTTCTGTACTTTCACTGTTCAAGCCCATTTGGCTTCAGCTCTCTGCCACCTGAGCTGTCTCAGTTGAGGAATGTCTGTATTTGAGAAAAGCATCAAACTCTCAGATCTGATCCTGTGTGGTGCCATTTTTCAAACTATCTCTCTGGTCTTTGGTGTATTTCTTGTTGGGTTCCATGGGGGCTCCT